CGGTGAGTCTGTAGTCAGACCGGTGAGACTGTAGTGAGACCAGTGAGTCTGTAGTGACACCAGTGAGACTGTAGTGAGACCAGTGAGACTGTAGTGAGACCAGTGAGACTGTAGTGAGACCAGTGAGACTGTAGTGAGACCGGTGAGTCTGTAGTCAGACCGGTGAGACTGTAGTGAGACCAGTGAGACTGTAGTGAGACCAGTGAGACTGTAGTGAGACCGGTGAGTCTGTAGTCAGACCGGTGAGACTGTAGTGAGACCAGTGAGACTGTAGTGAGACCAGTGAGACTGTAGTGAGACCAGTGAGACTGTAGCGAGACCAGTGAGACTGTAGTGAGACCAGTGAGACTGTAGTGAGACCAGTGAGACTGTAGTGAGACCAGTGAGGACGTCAGATCTGTTAGAACATGGACACAGGAACGTTCTGTAAAAAGGAAAGAGTCGGACAATCACACAAATAAGTGCTAAAATGTAAAACAATAAAACTAGATTTAACGGTTTGGAAGCAGCAAAAGCTCGGTCTCCTTTTCAGACGAGACCGAGGCACGTTCAAGAAAATCCTGTTTTTGGACCTCCCTGATCTGAACGTGTGGCAGATCTCTCAGACACACCAGGGTTAAACATTCTCATGTATAAACTCAGAATCTTAAATCAACACTGAATGTTGAGTAAGAGCCTGGATCTGCTTTTTGTTTGAGCCATGTTTTGTTCCTGACTCCTGTGGATGGGTTCGGATCCCAGCCGCTCCTCGTCTCCTCTGCTTTAAATGTTGAGTGAAAAATCCAAAGGGAAAAAGTTCAGTTGTCTCAAAAGTAATTATTATTTTCATCAAAAATAGACAAGAAATACAGAATTTGTCAAGTCAGTCAGTTTGTGAATTTGACATTTTAGAATCATCACAACATGTTTTCCAATGAGACTGAAGCAGCAGGTTTTATCGCCATTTTAATTTTACAAGATTATTTTTAGTGGGACAAACATAATGCATACTTTATTAAGTAAAATAACTAAATATAGGTACCCCAGCTTTAACTATGGTGTGCTTGGCTACAGTCAAAGGGAGAAGATAGAATACACCTCATGCTTAAAGCATGCCACTACATGCTTTAAACGCTGTCTGTGGTCGTGACTTTCTGAGTGTAAGTGTGGAGGAGCTGTCCATGGTGCTGAACTCCGCACGTTGTCTGTATGTCTTCACACCGTCTTCAACATCATTTCAATACTTTCAAAATTATATATTCCCAAAGTTGATGGTAACATGCTCTAGCAAACACTTTAAACTATTTCTACAATGAGAGAAAGTATCAGTTTGTTTGTAATCTTGTTAATTATTCGCTGGGATACTACTCGCCTCAGGATTGTTTCCCAGTGCAAATTTATTCCTGGTTTTTGCAGAACATTTGAAGCTTCTTTGTTTCCTGTTCCCTTCAGGCCTGAGATTTACTCCAAGTGTGATTTAATTAAATATTCTGTTTCACATTTCTAAATGGCACTGTTGTTTGTGCCGGAAATTAATTTGGATTTTTGGCAAAAATATGAAACGCAACTTCTCTGAAAAATTACTGTTAAATGTTGAGTTTTCTTTGTAAGATTTTTAAAAACAGTGAATTGTTGTCGATATTGAGTGTTAAGTTGGTTTAACTATAGTTTATAATCTATGGCTCTAACACCGTTACTATACTGTCTCTCATATCTATTACTGTATCCATCCACAACGGCACAAAGACACACAAAGGGACTTGTTCCCAGACTAAATAGAAGCATAGTAATATTTTGAAGGCACGTCTTCTCCTACATGATACTAAATAAGCCTAATAAGTAATTGTGAAAACATATACTGGATTCTAGGATAAGAGCGAGAGAGAGTCCAGTTACATTTGGAGAGAAAACCAACAAATCTACATGTTTTCCAATCTTCACTATAAACATGTGTGTTTTAAACCTGAGGCAGAGGTGCTGAAGAGCAGAGATGGTTCTTTCTCCTAAACTCACTGTTTTTGAGACAGAATCTGACCCAGGGACAGACACTTTTATAAAACACTTTGAGCAGTGGACCTCTCTTACATAACAAACATAATTAATACATTTACACGTTTATTTCACCCTAAACTAAACTCGGATAAACTCTTTCACTCCTGTCCTGTGTCTTCAGCCTCCATAGCTCTGTCTGTCTGTTCTCTGCAGCGGTGGCTTTAGTCCATCACTTCACAGCTGTCTCTCTTTCCGAGCGTTTTCCAAAAGTGGCTCTGGATCCTGGATTTAGGAGGTCGCTGATTTTGCTGATTCAAAGGAGGCTGGTTCTGAGATGAAACCAGCCTCATTTGTAGAAATCCAGATGAGAGAATGTCACCTCCAGGTCCCAGACGACAGACTCGACAGACTCTGTGTGGACTAGACTGTTCCCCCTGATATTGATTTGACCTCTGTTTCTCACTCGGCCCCAGGCCTCCACTCTCCTGGTCTGACCGAGACACCCAGGCACGGTTCATACATGTCCCGGTCCAGCTGAGACACGCGTCCCCGTCCGGCTGAGACACATGTCCTTCCAGCGTGTCCTGGTCGTCCCTGCATCTCCTCACATGATTCCTCCTCAGACATCCAAAGGCCTGAGGAGCAGCGGCTTTACTCCGAGCTCCTTACCCTCTCTCAAAGGGAGCGCCGAGCCACTCTGGAGGAAACATACTCTGCCTGTATCAGTGATCTCGTCCTTTTACTGTCAAAACAAAATTGCAGTTGAGTTGAATCCAAATCACAATGTTTTTCTGAAAAATCAAGATTAGATAATTGTTTTACAGCCTTCTTTTTATTGTTTTGAAAAGTGCTGTAGACAAACTTCTCTTCTACATTATTGTCTGTCGCCTCTTGTACATAAACTGTTCTGATCCTCTGTTTTCTCCAAAGCTGCACAATAATAACAATAATAACCATATTATTGATGTAAAAACCCTAATTGAACTGATCCTCAGCTTCCTGCAGCTGCAGTCTGGTTTGGTTTAATCTACTCAGGACACGGAGATCCGGCCTTAAAGCTAAAATAATCTGCGTCCCTTTCTTAATGAATCGTACCTTTGTGCCGCGGGGCCCTGTGTGCCGCGGGGCCCTGTGTGTCTTCTGTACCGTTGGTGATGCATGTTATTCTCATTATTCTCACACTTTCAGACTCCACTGACTTCAAACACTCTCAACTCCAAAAACACCTTTAGTAATTAGTTTTTCTATCAGTCATTTATTACAGAGCTGGATGTTAGCGAAAACAGTTTAGCCAAAGATGCATCTGGGAGTTTGATAAATCGCTCCAGAGGAAAAGTAAAACCAGCCAAAAAAGACTAATAGTGTTTCTATTTTAGTGTGTCCTGGAGGAAAATGCAGATACAGCTGTTACCATGGAGACAACAAAGTACCTCTTACCTTCTCTTTATATACAGCTATTAACGTATTTAATTAGCACAATATTAGCATAATTAATTAGCATAATTAATTAGCATTCAAATAAAAAATCTGTCCACTTTAACTCCTGCCATTGACGTCTTTTTGTCTGAGTCTGAGGCCCGTTTATACGGAGACGCTGCTGCAGTATAACGCTACAGTTGGGTCGGTTGCTACGGAGACTGTTCAGATCCAGCCTCAGAGTGGGACAGCTCAGATGCTCAGCAGGGGGCGCTCTTTCACACCTGCTGCTCTGAACCCACCTCCCGCTGCTCCCCGCACGTACATTTGGACATGTGCAGTAGAACAAACGGAAAAAACAAAGAAGCCGCCGCCTAATTCTACTCCTTCGTTCGTCCAAACGAGACCACGCTAAGCTCTAGGTTCAGTTTCCAGTTTCACAGCTGCTGTTAAAGAACGATGTTGGTTCATCTTTCACGTCTTGCAGAGGAAGTGAGTATACTGCTGTGGGGGGGTGTCCCAGCAGGAGGCCAGTCCCTGTGCTCCTCAGTCCCAGCAGGAGGCCAGTCCCTGTGCTCCTCAGTCCCAGCAGGAGGCCAGTCCTTGTGCTCCTCAGTCCCAGCAGAAGGCCAGTCCCTGTGCTCTTCGGAGTCCCAGCAGGAGGCCAGTCCCTGTGCTCCCTGAATCAAATACCTAATACTCGTACTGTAAATACCCTCTGGATCAGCTGGGCTTTTATATTGTCCCTCGGTTTTGCTCTGTCTTTTATTTTGGCGGGTCCGACTTTGGACTGAGTGATTTTTAAGGTCAATGTTTGAGCCTCAGGTCGGACTGAGGGCGACAGAGCGATCAAAGGTACGACAGAAAACGACAGAGCGATCAAAGGTACGACAAAACCACAGCTTCAAAGACATGGACTCTGTCGTACAAACGTCTTCAGAGACGTGTGAAAAAAGTGTGAAATCTGACACTTTTTCCAACGATTTGATGAATGAGAAGATCAGGACCAGGGACAGCGCCGCTTTCATCAAACACTTCAGAGAGATCAGAGGTTATTTTAATGGAGTTGGATACATTATAAATGCTAAAACTCGTAAAATATGGTTTTATAGTTCATATAAAAGTTAAATTAAATTACTAATATTTAGTCTGTCGACTTAACGGCATTTGTTTCACTACGATGGAAATATCTCCTCATTACTTCTATATTTAATAGAAACACACACACACACACACACACACACACACACACACATACACGTTTTTGTTACCTGGTGGGTCCCTTTGACAGGGCCGTTCAGAATGGGACCCATAGACATAATCTTTTTTTACTGGGACTACTTTAAGTAATACAAAACAGTCAATAGAAACCAAACAACTATTTTAAAGGAATTTTATTTTAGATTTTTTTTTAGAATTGCAGTGATTCTATTTTTGACATAGAATTTAATGCCACTCCATGTCCGATGTCTAAGGTCATCTGGTGAGGCATTAATGCAGGCCAGGCCAGGCCAGGCCAGGCAGTGAGACTTCCCAGGGACCTTTCCAGTCTGTATGAAAGGTGTCATGGTCTTCTCCACAGCCTTCACCTCAGATGCAGACCATGGCTTTCTCTAACGTTCTAGGGAGAGAAATAAAAATATATTAGCAATATACACTCCCAGGGTTAGGACCAAGCAGCCTGGCTGTAATCCCCCACCTGGTACACTTACCAGAAGGGGCACTGCCACTACCATGGGGTGCATCTGGATGAATGGTTGAAGGTTCTCCGCTTGAAGTTTCTTTTAGCCCGTCCGTTTGTGAGAGGATCTCTACTGCTCTCCCTGTCGCACAGAAAATAAAAATACAAGTGGCCTTTAGGGGAAAAAAATCATACATATTTTAATAATATCAAGAATTACCTTCAGGCTCAATTTGTATCTGGTCGAGGCTCTTTCCTTTGAATTCCGTCACTCTTCCCTGCTCCATGGCCATCAACACTTTGCTGATTTTGGCCAGCTCCAGTGTCCCCTCTGGTAGTCTGTAATATTGCCTGTGGATGCGAATGTCATGGCCGAGGAAGTTGGCAAGTATGTCCATCTCATTCTCTTTCATATTGAGAACTGTAGACATAGTAGCTATGTGCTTTCTAAGTTTGGTTGAGGATAGCATCTCTGGATGCACCGCACCACATTCTTTGGCTACCTGGCGGAGTCTGATCCCCTGATGTGGGTGTCTGCGCCCGGGCGGGAAAAGAAGTATGGGTTATGGTCAGAGATGGAACAGGCCCTTCTGTTCTCCACCAGCACCTCCATCGAAGCAATCATTTCAGGAGTCAAAAGAACCGGCACTTTCCGACTTCTTTTCCCTTTAATTTCAATGCGTTGAAAATGCTGACACAGCTTTTTCTCAAGTTGGGACAGTCCCAGAGCAATGTCAGAATGGATCCCAGTCTTACTTCTTAAGGTAAAGGCTGTCAGTGGCATCTTTGAAACCTCACCTTCCCTTCTTCGATTGAAAATAATGACCTCACAAAGAGTCAAAACTGCCAGTTTAGACCAATGCTTAGACGTTGGCTCACTTATTAGGGTTTGCACATATTCAGGTCGACATACCTCAATATGTGCATGCATGGCTCTAACGTCCTCAGTCAGAGGGAGCAGGTCCGGAGTGTTCCACTTGGCTTGCCGGAGGGTCTGTAGGGCAGCAGAAGAAACACAGACGTCCCACCTCTTCTCAAAAAGCAGCCGGCTTCGTTGGAGGTTTTTAATAAATAGTTCATCAACACAATGCTCCATTTTTGAGTCACATTCAAGAATATCTGCTAGCTTTCTGAGGCTATGGCCGAGTTTGAGGGCCAAGGATGGAGTCTTGTATTGATTTGTTTCCTCATCATATCCAGCCACAGACCTGACTGCATCAATCACATGGTTAAAGTTGGAAGGAATAAAGAAATCCTTCATTGTTTTCAGTTTCCCTGCAGTTTTTGCTTCGTTAATTAACCTACCGACTTCTCTCATTTTCTGCCTAATGTAATCATGCTTAGTCTTATCCTGCCCGTGTTTTAAGTACAGGTGCTCTCCGAGTCTCAGAATCCCCTTTTCTGCTTTGACAACACCCGTGACCTCATCCTGATGCATTGCCCAAATTAAAGACCACAGCTTTTTGCTGATGCCCTCCGGTACAGGCTGGGCTAGGGAGCAGAGGGACTGGACCCTACTTCTACCTGGTTTAGCCTGGGCATCTTTCTGTGAAAGCCGGCACCTGGCCACATGCCTCCACAGCGACTTTCGCTTAAGCAATGCCCCACAGTCTATACAGTGCAAAAACTCACTGGATTTAACTGGGGAATTTGGCTGTTTAGCTGGGACTAAAGTTCCAATGCCGGCCTTTAAAACCTCAACATTGTGCTCACGGTTTCCACTATTCCTGATCAAATCAAACTGAAGTTTACGTGCTTTAGATTTCACAGGTAGAGCCAATGCTCTGGCTACGTCACTTTCATTTCCATGTTTTCTAGTCAAATGACGGGACATTTTGTGGCAGAACATTGAACAGTAGAGGCAGAAGTGTCTCTTGCTATAAACTCTGCCCCCATTTTTCTTCTTTTGCAGCTGCATGATAACAATCTTATTTGCCTTTGGTTCGTCACTTTCCGAGTCTTGAAGAAAAGTGTTTTTGATTTTTCTTTTTCCATACTTTTTTACAGGTTTCTTCTTGACAGTTAAATCGTCAGAATCTGAGTCGACTTCATCAATTAGGGACTCTTGACTAAGCTGCACAAACAACAAATAATTTGTAATCATTCTATATAACAATTTGAAGTCATGACTTGTAGTCAGCACTTACCAGTGGTTTGTAAGCGTGCGCTTCAGTGTGCTCCTCCATGATTTCTTGCAGCCTAATGAACCACACACTTGCACCTTTTTCTAGCCTGACACCTGACTGTTGTGCTGCCATGATTGGCTCCAGCCTCTGTTGTGCTGCTCCATGATTGGCTCCAGCCTCTGTTGTGCTGCTCCATGATTGGCTCCAGCCTCTGTTGTGCTGCTCCATGATTGGCTCCAGCCTGCTGGACTGAAATTGCCCCAGTGTGCCCCTCCTTGATATCCCGCAACCCACCACCAGGGTTCCGACACATAACACACTTTTTTCAGGAAAGTAAACCTCCAGGGGTCCTTTCCATATTTTTACAGAGACTGCATAAGGACCGTTAGAAAAGCATTACCCATTGATTATTAAGCTTGGACCAGTGGGGTCCGGTGTTCGGGCCCCACCACGTAAAACCAGTCCCCATGACGTGAGTGGAATCTCAGGTTATGGAACCCACCAGGAGTTGAAAACAAGTGCACACAGACAGACACGCACACACACACACAGACACACACACACAGACACACACGCACAGACACACGCACACACAGACACACACACACACACACACACAGACACACACACACAGACACACACACACAGACACACGCACACACACACACACACACACACAGACACACGCACACACACACACACATGCACACAGACACACACACACAGACACACGCACACACACATGCACACACAGCACACACACACACAGACACACGCACACACACATGCACACACATGCACACACAGACACACACACACACACACACAGACACATGCACACACAGCACACACATGCACACACATGCACACACAGCACACACATGCACACACATGCACACGCACACAAACCCACACACACAACACACACACGCACATGCACACGCACACAAACTCACACACACACACACACACACACAGAGACACACACACACACACATACATACGCAGATCTCCTCATGCACACCTGCTCTCACGTGCACACACACACACACGCAGATCTCCTCATGCACACCTGCTCTCACACGCACACACACACGCACACGCACACAAACCCACACACACACACAGACACACACACACACACACTACACTACACACAAAACAGAGGGTACAGTATTATGCCGTTTTTCCACAGTCCTAGTACAGTACGTTTTGACCCAGTTCTTGTGCTTTTCCATCAAAAATAATACCCCCTAGTTTGTCCTCAGCGTTGTCAGATCACGTCATTTACGTGTGACGCGTAACTAGTACTGGTGCGGTGCATGGATTTATTATAATATCAAAGTGTTTAATAGAAAATTCAGCACAGCACGAGTAGTTTTTAAAAATGCTTATGTCTTAAAAGAATGACTCAGACACTGTGAAGTCAATGGTGCTGCTCTGTACAATCTGAATGGACCTGTAGCAACAGCAGCCTGTGTAGCAGAGGAGGGCTGCATGTCCGAGGATACTGCTAGGCTATAGCTAATGCTAGCGCTAGCTCGAGACTCAGCTCACTCACTAACCCTGGATTCCAAAGCTACTACAATACTACACTTAACACATCTATCACTGCCCTCAGAGGAGGATCCAGGGTTTAAACTCGTCATATGGCAACTCGAGCAGTAAAGGACCGGGTCAGAGGTCGCTTCCAGTGACGACACTCGTTGACCAATCAGTGTAAGGCAGTGGGCCGACGTGACGTCATGGCACGGGTACTATGGGGATGGAACTACGGCTGAGGCAGTACGGAAAAGTACTCAAATCTCCCATACCATCCACTAGTGGAAATGCAAAATAACCGTGCTGAAGCGTACTGTACTGTACCGTACTGATACTGTGGAAAAGCAAGTCCACAGTATCTGGAAATAAGTCCAGCAAAAACAGTGACATCAGCTGTGAAAAGACCCTCTGTGCCCCCACCCTATACTGTACAATTAAAAGTGACATTTTATTATTTTAGAATAGACTTTGACCATCTCCTGCTCGTCTCTCATTAAACCTCAGAATAAATGCAGTCTTCTGTTTGATTAGATCGTCAGCTGCTGTCACCCAGTCTGTCACCCAGTCTGTCACCCAGTCTGTCACCCAGTCTGTCACCCAGTCTGTCACCCAGTCTGTCACCCAGTCTGTCACCCAGTCTGTCACCCAGTCTGTCACCCAGTCTGTCACCCAGTCTGTCACCCAGTCTGTCACCCAGTCTGTCACCCAGTCTGTCCTGTCTCTGCTCATGTGCTCACATGTCACTCACTCATATTTCACAGCCACGTTTCCAGTTCATGTGTCTGTGTTTCTCCAGTGACTCTGGCTCCACATGTTTTTCTTTGGTCCGTGTGTGTTGTGTGTGACTGATGGAGACTATTGTTAAGGTGGTAATGCAGTGTGTATGTCTGATGGAGACTATTGTTAAGGTAGTAATGCAGTGTGTATGTCTGATGGAGACTATTGTTAAGGTAGTAATGCAGTGTGTATGTCTGATTGAGACTATTGTTAAGGTAGTAATGCAGTGTGTATGTCTGATGGAGACTATTGTTAAGGTGGTAATGCAGTGTGTATGTCTGATGGAGACTATTGTTAAGGTAGTAATGCAGTGTGTATGTCTGATGGAGACTATTGTTAAGGTGGTAATGCAGTGTGTATGTCTGATTGAGACTATTGTTAAGGTGGTAATGCAGTGTGTATGTCTGATTGAGACTTGTTAAGGTGGTAATGCAGTGTGTATGTCTGATGGAGACTATTGTTAAGGTAGTAATGCAGTGTGTATGTCTGATGGAGTCTATTGTTGAGGTAGTAATGCAGTGTGTATATCTGATGGAGATTATTGTTAAGGTAGTCATGCAGTGTGTATGTCTGATGGAGACTTGTTAAGGTGGTAATGCAGTGTGTATGTCTGATGGAGACTTGTTAAGGTGGTAATGCAGTGTGTATATCTGATGGAGACTATTGTTAAGGTAGTAATGCAGTGTGTATGTCTGATGGAGACTATTGTTAAGGTAGTAATGCAGTGTGTATATCTGATGGAGACTTGTTAAGGTGGTAATGCAGTGTGTATGTCTGATGGAGACTATTGTTAAGGTAGTAATGCAGTGTGTATGTCTGATGGAGACTATTGTTAAGGTAGTAATGCAGTGTGTATGTCTGATGGAGACTATTGTTAAGGTAGTAATGCAGTGTGTATATCTGATGGAGACTATTGTTAAGGTGGTAATGCAGTGTGTATATCTGATGGAGACTATTGTTAAGGTGGTAATGCAGTGTGTATATCTGATGGAGACTATTGTTAAGGTAGTAATGCATTGTGTATATCTGATGGAGACTATTGTTAAGGTGGTAATGCAATGTGTATATCTGATGGAGACTATTGTTAAGGTGGTAATGCAGTGTGTATGTCTGATGGAGACTATTGTTAAGGTAGTAATGCAGTGTGTATGTCTGATGGAGACTATTGTTAAGGTGGTAATGCAGTGTGTATGTCTGATGGAGACTTGTTAAGGTGGTAATGCAGTGTGTATATCTGATGGAGACTATTGTTAAGGTAGTAATGCAGTGTGTATGTCTGATGGAGACTATTGTTAAGGTAGTAATGCAGTGTGTATATCTGATGGAGACTTGTTAAGGTGGTAATGCAGTGTGTATGTCTGATGGAGACTATTGTTAAGGTAGTAATGCAGTGTGTATATCTGATGGAGACTATTGTTAAGGTAGTAATGCAGTGTGTATGTCTGATGGAGACTATTGTTAAGGTAGTAATGCAGTGTGTATATCTGATGGAGACTATTGTTAAGGTAGTAATGCAGTGTGTATGTCTGATGGAGACTATTGTTAAGGTAGTAATGCAATGTGTATATCTGATGGAGACTTGTTAAGGCGGTAATGCAGTGTGTATTTTTGTTAAGGTAGTAATGCAGTGTGTATGTCTGGGGCAGGTGCGGCTCGAGGCCTTTCACTTTTCTTCATCTGGAGCTGGTTCATAACTTCAGACGGTGCTGCGCTTACGGAGAATCCCCGAGATTAAGAAACATGGAGACTATAGGGTTGGGAAAAGGTACAGGTGAAAGGTACAGGTGAAAGGTACAGGTGAAAGGTACAGATGAAAGGTACAGGGGAAAGGTACAGATGAAAGGTACAGGTGAAAGGTACAGGGGAAAGGTACAGGGGAAAGGTACAGGTGAAAGGTACAGGTGAAAGGTACAGGTGAAAGGTACAGGTGAAAGGTACAGGGGAAAGGTACAGGGGAAAGGTACAGGTGAAAGGTACAGGTGAAAGGTACAGGTGAAAGGTACAGGTGAAAGGTACAGGGGAAAGGTACAGATGAAAGGTACAGGTGAAAGGTACAGGGGAAAGGTACAGGTGAAAGGTACAGGTGAAAGGTACAGGTGAAAGGTACAGGGGAAAGGTACACAGGTGAAAGGTACAGGTGAAAGGTACAGGTGAAAGGTACAGGGGAAAGGTACAGTGAAAGGTACAGGTGAAAGGTACAGGTACAGGAAAGGAAAGGTACAGGTGAAAGGTACAGGTGAAAGGTACAGGTGAAAGGTACAGGTGAAAGGTACAGGGTGAAAGGTACAGGTGAAAGGTACAGGTGAAAGGTACAGGTGAAAGGTACAGGTGAAAGGTACAGGGGAAAGGTACAGGTGAAAGGTACAGGTGAAAGGTACAGATGAAAGGTACAGATGAAAGGTACAGGTGAAAGGTACAGGGGAAAGGTACAGGTGAAAGGTACAGGTGAAAGGTACAGGTGAAAGGTACAGGGGAAAGGTACAGGTGAAAGGTACAGGTGAAAGGTACAGGTGAAAGGTACAGGTGAAAGGTACAGGTGAAAGGTACAGGTGAAAGGTACAGGTGAAAGGTACAGGGGAAAGGTACAGGTGAAAGGTACAGGTGAAAGGTACAGATGAAAGGTACAGATGAAAGGTACAGGTGAAAGGTACAGGGGAAAGGTACAGGTGAAAGGTACAGGTGAAAGGTACAGGTGAAAGGTACAGGTGAAAGGTACAGGTGAAAGGTACAGGTGAAAGGTACAGGTGAAAGGTACAGGTGAAAGGTACAGGTGAAAGGTACAGGTGAAAGGTACAGGTGAAAGGTACAGGGGAAAGGTACAGGGGAAAGGTACAGGGGAAAGGTACAGGGGAAAGGTACAGGTTCTGTCTCTTATGCACTGCAGTGGAATGGATTTGTGATTGTGGTTCTATGGAATGTTGGGTTATTCCTAAACGGAGCTGTGTGGGGAAGCTGGCCGAGAGTCAAAATGAGACGGCAGAATGCGTATTAAAATTGATAAAACAGGAGATTTATTTTGGACAATGCAACAACAAACAATCCTGTCCCTTGGGTGTGACTCCCCCTGACGAGGTTCACCTGTGAGCTTTTAACATTGTGGCTCCGCCCACATGGGTTGGCACACAAAACAAAATGGCTGTCTGAGACACACCCTCTTCAACAGCTACAAAATACATTGACTAAAAGTGGCATTAAAGAGGGGACAAAGTAACAAGCTGTATCTGGAATACAGATCGATAGATAACACACACCACAAAAAACATACCACACACAACACACCACACAACACACAACACACACACCACACATCACACACACAACACATCACACAACACACAACACACAACACACACACCACACACCACACATCACAACACAACACAACTACCTTATTAGAATAAAACTAAAGTGTCAGTATTTTTTCTCATTAATAGTTTTGGCAAGACACTTAACCCCACTTTGCCTGAAGCCCCCGCTGAAAGATCGAGGCTCCTGTGGCACCTGCAGGAGGATCAGTGAGGGGCTGGTGCTCTGGCTGCCACCCCCGACCCAGACATGGATTAAGGGGAAGAAGATGAATGGATGAATGATTCTCGGCGCTGGTGCGTTATTTGTTCATCATCAGTAAAGACGAGATGTTGGAGATGTTTAAAGATGAACCCACGTTCACCAAAGGTTGATCTTTGTGAGGTTGCCAGATTCATGCTGATTATCTCCTTCCACTCACGGTACTTTTGCGGCTCACAGTAAAGTCATGCAGGAGTATATGTTGGGGGTTTTATCCAGCGTGTAAACAGGGACATGTTCCTGTGCAATGGTAGTTAATCTCAGTTTAATCAGTCGTTCTCTGCTGCCGTCTGTCTCTGGCTCCTCTCATCTCATCGAACACAAGTTAGTTTTGGTTCTGAGCCCACATCCGCAGCCGCACCGTGACATTTCCTGGTTTTCATTATTTTGATCCATACACTGATTACTTTTGATGATCATCATTAAAGCGTGCTTATAGAAGATGGATGCCTCTCTCTAGCCGGACCAGAGAGGCCAGTCCAGCCCAAGCCAGTCTCACTGACCGCTCCAACGGGTTCCAATTGAAAGTGTAATTTGAATGTGGCCTGAAATGAGGAGACACCAGGAGACTAGTGCACCTTTAACTCATGGACTGCCAGCGACGTGTTTGTCTGAGACCGGGGATTTCAGTCCAACTTCCTTCTTCTCGACTGGGGATTACAGGAGAACAAAACTCTCTAGAAAGAAACTACATTTTTGTGGCTCGTGCAGCTGACACATGCACAGATGTGTTTTTTCACATTTTCCAGCCCCCGCGGCCATTTTGGAACTGCCCATAGACCGCGGAAGTTGTGGCCCATTAGTTAGAACGGCGGAGACAGGCGAGACTATGTCTGTAAATATTTACAGTCTATGGGTGAGACACATAAGGGCGGGGCATAACCAAACAGGAAGTACAACTAAAGAAGACACAGAGGTTGACAAATGACAAAACAAAACATGAAATGAACTTAAACCGTGACGCTCAGAGATGACTGCTGCTGTTGCGGCTAAACAACATTAAAGTGCATTGATTACAGAACACACACACGCTGCGTAAGCTCAATATCATGCACTATTTGTTGTTGTATCCGTTCACTGTTATGCATTAATAGTTTTTATACGAGTCCAGTTTGGCTCAGTGCCTGTCGTCAGTAAAAACCAAACATATATTTTCTAAGTCTGATTATGGTCCAAGTGCACATCGCTGCAGAGCCCAGAATAGCCCTGATGTGTCCTTGGCTGTTTTCGCTTCTGTTTCCGTCCATGGCCTGCAGTTGGAGCATCCACCTTCTGCTGCATGAATATTTGGAGCTCTGGATTTATAATTATCTGGTGACGGCTGCAGACACATGGGTCACTTTCACACTCCTTGGGCAACTTCATCCAGAAGGTCTCCCGACGTT